GTTTAGGGCGTTTAGGGCTTGGGCTTTATGGCTCAGGGTTTGAGGCTTAGGGTTGCAGGCTTAGGGTTTAGGGAGTTGCCCCAAGGTGACTGTTTAAAGGTTAAGGGCTCAAAGCAGGCTGTAGTCTTGCTTACAGACTTGGAGTTCCAGCGTCATTGATCTTCTAAAGCTTGTGATTCAGAATTCCATCCTTCGAAACCATATCTGGTACTTTTTCGGGCCCCCCAAAACATGTAATGAATAGGTTCGGAATTGGTGAGTATCCCAGAGCGCCACCTAGACTTACAATAACGGCTTCATATTCCGTATTTGCTGTTGCCATGAGAACTGGAAGGTATATCCAACAATGACCAAAATCCGCATGGACATCTCTCAATGTGTGGCTCCACCACATCAAGTTCTCTCATGCGATTCCCGGAAAGACCCCCAACAAAGTTGAGAACCTGCTGACACCCGAAGCCTACGACATGATAACACCAAAACCCCAAAGACTACATGAGCTTTGTTCTAAACTCCTAATATCCCCCTTAAATAAACCCCTAAAGTAGTCCCCTGTGCAATCCCCTCATAACCCCCTTTAAGGAGTGTAGACTATAGCTCGCATGTTCTTGCACAGCCCATGTACAGAATGCGTGCATAGCTCTTATGGGATGTGGTTAGCCCCGGGCAGTCAAACTTGCCGGATCGTTAGTACGGAATAAAGGTGGAAGAAAGGGATCTCTCTTTGGGTGGGCATTCAGGAATTGAAGAAGCTTCCCGGTGGTTAGAGGGAAAAAGAAAGGAGTCTAGGGAGGGACCATTGTAAGGATCTTTATATGAGCTGAAAAGATCCAATCCTCGGTTCTATCCACCAGAAAGCAAAGCGAGCCCCGGGGCCAGCAACAAAAAACATGGGCGGCTGGCTCTTCTGTCAGCATGGCGGCCAGCAGCGGCCGAACGACCCCTTCCTTGAACACTTACAATCCCCCTTAAGTAGATAGAATATGGGGTATATGGGGATCTTATGATAATTTACCTAAAGCCATGTTCTATCTACTTAAGGGGACTATAAGAATTTAGTCTGTAGGGTTTCAGGTTCAGGGTCACAGGTTTCTGGATTCCCCGACCACCCCCCTGCTATACTACCACCTGCTAGGTGCCCCTTGTTCAAGGGAGATGTTGGGGGGTAGTGTAGGAGTCCGAAAAATCATGATAGGTGCCGCGTTGCACTGGGCTTTAGGTTTACAGGCTTAGATCTTAGGGTTTTAGGTTCAGGGTTTAGGGTTTGGGTTTGGGCTTTAAGGAGTTTGGAAGCGTTGGTGCGGTATTTCAGACTTGAGGTTCAGCCTGACGGCTTTGGACACCACGGGTTGAAATGGGTCGGTATGTATGTTCATAAGGGGCCCTTCAAAGGGATATGCAGAAAATGTACCCCAAGTACCCTAAAATAGGGTCTATGTAGCTTCTATTTGGGAATGCTTAGGGTGTAGGGTTTAGGGTTTGGGGTTTGGGGTTTAGGGTTTAGGGTTTCGGATTTAAAGACTTAGCCTTAAGCCCTAAACTCTAAAACGTATGTCATAAGGGGGGCTGAAGTGAGCCAACCTGAATCAGGTGACTTATGACCTCCATGTAGCAGCTACTTTCTGACTCACCGAGCCTTCGGGTACACCACAGTATACACACATACATATATATATATATGCATGCATGCATGCATGGATGGATGGATGGATGGATGGATGGATGGATGGATGGATGGATGGGTGTATGTATACAGGTAAGAAAAAATAAACATAAGAAGAATAAGAAGAAGATAGAAGAAGAATAAGAAGGAGAATAAGAAAGATGTATACATGTATACAAAATTTCCTGAGCCCTAAGCCCTAAACCGTAAACACTCTAAACCAAATAGATCCAGACCTACTTACAACACAATACATATATATATATACACACACATACATGTCCCTAAACCCTAAACAACATAGATCTGGGCAGCGTTCTAGTGCAAGATCTCCTCCAATCACCCAGGACTTCAGGCTTAGGGTTAGATCTGTTCCAGAACTTTTGGGTTGTGCTTAAGGAACTTATGTTCAGTTACCATAATATGGGCATATAGTAAATGATAAGATTTCCTTACTATAGTCGGATAATTCAAGTTCCTTAGCAACAACCCAGAGTCTTGCAGCTGGTTGGACAAATGTTGAAGACAGCTTACATCTGGGGATCCCGGAATAGGGTTTAGGGTTTAGGGTTTAGGGTGTAGGTTTGCAATTGCCAAGGGGGACTTAGCTCCATGAACTCCTATGTTGTACCAGTAGCTTGGAACCCATGTCAGGTGCACGGCTAGTCCCTAAAAAAAACTCTAAAACCTAAACTCTAAACCTTACACCCTAAACCCTTAACCTTAAACCGCGTTTCAGATTCATCTTGGAATCTTGGAATCTTACGCTAAGACTTAGCCCTACCAAGCCCTGCACCTGATTGGGGTTTGGGGTTTGCAGTTTAGGGTTTAGGGTTTAGGGTTGAGGGTCTCGGGCTGAGGTTGCAGAGTTTAGTGTTTAAGTTTTGGTTTAGGCCCCTAAATCCCTAAACCCCTAAACCCCGAAACCCCTAAATCCCTACCCTAAACCCTCAACCCTAAAGCCCTAAGTCCCTAAACCCCTAAATCCCTACCCTAAACCCTCAACCCTAAGCCCCTACATCCCTAAACCACTAAATCCCTACCCTAAACCCTCAACCCTAAGCCCCTAAATCCCTAAACCACTAAATCCCTTAACCCTAAATCCCTAAACCCCTAAATCCCTACCCTAAACCCTCAACCCTAAATCCCTAAATCCCTAAACCCCTAAATCACTAAACCCCTAAATCCTTACCCTAAACCCTCAACCCTAAACCCCGAAATCCCTAAACCCCTAAATCCCTACCCTAAACCCTCAACCCTAAACCCCTAAATCCCTAAACCCCTGAATCCCTAACCCCCTAAAACCCTACCCTAAACCCTCAACCCTAAACCCCTAAATCCCTACACACCTAAATCCCTACCCTAAACCCTCAACCCTAAACCCCTAAATCCCTAAACCCTTAAATCCCTTAACCCCTAAATCCTTTAAACCCCAAAAACCCTACCCTAAACCCGCAACCCTAAACCCCTAAATCCCTAAACCCCTAAATCCCCAAACCTCTAAATCCCTAAACCCCACTTTGGAAAGCACCATGTGCTCTCGCTGGGGTTGCGACGCGCATAGCCCGCTTGGCGGCCTCCTTTCTTGGCAGATTGCGCATATGACCTACAGTCAATACTTCCTACATAATTCATTGGGCTTAGGGTTTAGGGCTTAGGGTTTAGAGTTTAGGAGTTTCTTGGGTTATAGTCCCCCTTACGTAAATATTTAAATAGAATGTGGCTCGGCCATATCATTGTAAGATCCCCATATATCCCAGAGGTTTGAGGGTTTAGGGTCTTGGGTTTAGGGTATGTTTCCTACATTATCTTAATGGGCATGGGTTCCTCACTAAGGACAAAGTTAGGGACTATACTAAATTACAAGAG